CCACTACAAGTGGGTCGCAAATGTGGCTCCAAGAGTTTTTAGGAGAAGAAATGAGAAATGAGGAAAATAAGCAGAAAGTACAACTCAGGAGCAGATCTGCCTTTGTGATGCGCACACCAGAGGTGTTCACAGTCTACATGGCAAGGGACAGCTTAATGCTCTGCTCACATTTTATCATTTGATTCTGCCAATCACGGTCTCATAGAGTAGACACTGTTTTGGTGCTCACTTTCCAGATAAAGAAATGAACAAACGGAGAAGTTATAGTCAGTTGTCGAAGACAATTCAAACCCAGGCCATCGGGTTCCATGTTTGGCAGTCATTTCTGCATGTTGAAGGGCTCTGTCTCCTCCCCTCAGAAGCGTTGAAATTCAGTGAAAGTAATTTCTTGAACACTGACAGTTTGTCCATGTGCTTAGCTCTGTGAAGATCTGATTTCTTTCTCTGTGTTTCCATTGTGAATTCAGGAGGCCGTGGCCTAGGCTTGCAGTGTGGAATATTGCAAGAGCTTTTTCAGGATCCAGCCAAGGCCCTGGTGACTGATATCTCCCCTAATAACAGCTGGAGAGGAAACTGCTAAGTAGAGATAAAGATGAGAGTTTCTGGTCTTTTCAAAGAAAAAGTCTTTTCAAGAACTACACCAGTCAGGGCTGGGAAGGTGGCTCAGTGGTAGACTTGCATGCATGAGGCCCTGGGTTCGATTCCTCATCACCACATAAACAAAAAGAAAAAAGCCGGAAGTGGCTCTGTGGCTCAAGTGGTAGAGCACTAGCCTTGAGCTGAAGAGCTGAGGGACAGCGCCCAGGCCCAGAGTTCAGGCCCCACAACCAGACCCCCCCCCAAAAAAAAAGAATTATACCAGATCTTATACATTTGTAGAATTTCCCCAGATTTTCTGCTTAGCTGTCTGGAAGGTTTGCATAGAGAAACAATAACAGAAGCATTGGGGCCTAATTGCTGTCCATGTTTTTCTATGTGCAAAAGCTCAGTGGTGTTTTTTGTGAAACATAATTAGCCATTCTAATGCATCCCAAACCCTTTCTAGTACAGTTTATTTATACTCCACAAGAAACTCAAAGGTCCACGTGAGGACGGCTTGGTCCTCAGCTGTGGTATTACTGAGAGGTGATTGATCATGAGAGTACCAACTTCACCAATGGGTTAATCCACAGATGAGTTCACGGCCACAAGGAAGTAGATCAATCAAATCATCTTTAAAGGTTGCATCTTGTCCCTGGCCATTCCTCCTCTTCCACTTCCTGGACTCCATGAGGTAAGTAGCTTCCTCAGCCACATGCTCTTACTGCCATGATGTTCTTCTGTCTCTCTTTCAGCCCAAGCAATGAAATCAACACACCTTGGATGAAAACTTCTGAAACTATAAGCCAAAATAAATCTTTCCTTCTTGAAGTTTTTTTTTTTTTTTGTCACAGCAACAGAACACTGACCCCAAACTCTTACAGTTTTCCAGGACAATGGAACACATAATGAATACCTCTATTTGAAATATCTGAAGGACAGCTTTACTTTCCTTGCGGTTCTTTGTTGCTACCCTGGTTTTTGAGTGATGCTTTAGGAAGTTATAACTTACAAGAAAGTCAATTACACCTTACAAGATTACCTTGATTGAAGATCTCACACCATTCAGGCAGCATTTCTCAAGCTTTCAGTACTGATCAGCCAGTTTAGACTAATACAGCTCACCAATTTCATCTCAAATTCTAGTGATAAAAACAGCATTAAAAATTCTAATTACAGAGAAATTAAAAAACAAACAAAAGTAGATTAGTACAACACCATACTTATACTCAGCTTTAACAATAATTGACTCAGGGCCAATCTTGTTTCATCACTACACCCATCCACTTCCTCTCTCCCACATCATCCTAAAAAAAAAATCCAGATAGCCTATCATTCCATGCATAAATATTTCAGTTCATAATTCTAAAATTATGAACCCTTTCTTGTAACATTACAATACTATCATTGCAACTAAAAACATTCATAAGAATTCTTATCAAATACCAAAATAGAGCAAATTTTCAATTGTCTCAAAACTATTTTAAGTTTTTTTGGTGTTTGAATAAGGCTCCAAATGAGCCCTACAAATTCTCTCCAGTAGAACATTATTGTAAATTGCAATAATTATTTCATACATTTATAAGAGAGTACCTTCTGCTATCTCTCAAGGTATATGCCTCATTTAATGACATGATCAAGTTCTATACTCCATTCGTTTCTTTCCTTATACTTTATTTTTTACCAAGTTCAATAAACACTCCCAACTCCCAGATATACACACTTGCAAATAGCATCAAATGTTTGTTATCTCTTCCTAAGTTATGGATTAAGATGAGATTTCTCATTGAAAATACAGTTAGCCTTCTATCAAGTGCCAAATCAATTATAAAATACATGTAAAGTCTGAATGGATGCTTGGAGACTAGCCAGTGGATCTTCCTCACCCACCAGGACTGTTCTCCAACATTAGTTCCGAAATATGCCAAGATTTCGCTCCTCTTTTACAATGGAGACACACATCAGATATTAAGAAAGATTGGATCTCAGTGTAGTCTCAAGAAAAGTATGTGATTTCTCATATCTAGCTATTTTTAACTTTTAAGGCCAAGTTTATCCTTTGGATCCTATCAGTCAACTCCAGAACTGGTCAGGTACCAGAGGGACCAATCATTAGACATACCACAATGAGCAGAGTCATGCAAGCTATAGAAGGGTCTTTTTAGTCAGAGGAAGAGAAGGGAGAAAGCCAATTGTTAGAAAACCATTTAGGAGGTGGAGCATAATGGGAGGTCTTTAGGTCTTGAGACATGTACTCAAAAGGAAATGAGCCAGTCTCTCTGACTTCCTGTTTTTTGGTAGGATGGTTCCTCTCATATTTGTTTCTTCTACAATGTTGCATAGCGAACAGTCTCTTAACTAGAGCTGAGTTAATGCTAGCATGTTGCTCTTAAATCTGTGATCTAAATAAAACTTTGATCTAAACTGTTTATAAAGTTAGCCAGACTCAGGCTTAATTATAGTAACAATAAATGAACAAAACACAGACATATACAGACACACAAATACACACATCATGTATTTAGCTTAAGCTAGCCTCAGACTTAGTATATAGCCTAGACTAATCTTGAACCTGAGATCTTACTGCCTCAACTTTTGAGTGCTAGGATCACAGATGTATACCATCACATGTGGCTTCATATATTTTGATGAAGATACAACTACGTATGTGTTGATCAAAACTCACTGTACCATACTGAATTTAATGACTTCTTACTAAATTATAAATAATACCTTAATAAAGAGGATTATTAAAACAAACCCCAGAAAATCTCGTTGGTATAGAACACCCCCTCCTCCTCTCCCCTCACAGGTGATTCTTATGTACAATCAGAGGCAGAACTTCGAAGCGCCAGGTGAAAGCATGGTCAGCAATGGCTGTTTCCCCAGGGCAGATTAGCTGCACATTCCCAAACTGAGAGGACTCATTACTGGAAACAGTCACTCACAGCTTGGAGCTTGGTTTGGCTCACATAGCCTTCTGGAAGATGGGGTGAGAAATGACTTGGTCTTTAGAACTTAAGGCTCTCCAGCAAAATGAGGGCCACAAACAAAACATGGCAGGGAAACAGGAAAGAAGGAAGCAAAGTGTCTAGGAACTTGACTATGCCTGCGGCAGCCAGTGGCTCTCACACTCCCGTGGGTGCCATGGTCACACAAGGGTCTATCAGATGCAGATTTCTGGGCCTTTCTCCCCAAGTTGGTCAGCTCTCAGATGTGGCCCAGGAATTTGCATTTTAGCAGCAGGTCCCAGATGACTCTTGACTTGCTCATGGAACATACACCCAGAAACTGAGGCAGGAGTGACAGCCCACAGTCTTCCTTAGGGTATGCCCACTAGACCACCAGATTCTGAAAAGGCAAGTCTAAGGCACCATCCAGCATCCAGGTTGGATGAAAATGCCCATCTGGGGGTCCTATGGGAAGCAAGGAGACCTACCCCAAGTTCTCTCTTCTGAGACTTCTGATTTCATTGGAAGAGTGAACCTCACAGAATCACTTCTTAAGTGCAATTCTTGACCCATCCCAAACCACCCACTGCATTAGCCGCTCAATTGGGCAAGGCCCCCAACCTGTCACAACTCTGATGCTAAAGCCCAGTCAAATGTTTTGATGGCTGTGGCTTAGAAAAGTTCCCCTCCTCCCCAGCTGTAACCTCAGGTGCTTTGTCAAGGAAAAGGAGGAAGCTACACAGTACTCTTCCTACTGTAAGGGGCCCTGCAGTTGCTGAACCTGGAGGAAGAAAATTAGGCTCTGAGTCACTGCCACTGGCTGGAAGGCTTTTCTCCTAGGGTTTTTCTTTCTTCCAAGGCTAGGAAAGTTGGAGGCCAGGGCTACTCCCAGAAAGGGTATCTGCACAATTAATACTCCCTAAAAGAAACAGCAGCTGGCCCATAAGCTGGTCCTAAGGTTCCTAGTATTCTCATTCAAGAATAGTAGGACTCAGTGAGGATAGGGTCATCTTCACAATCCTTTTCCTGATGCAAAGAATTGCTTCTTTTCCCAGTAAGATGGGGAAGCAAAGCTTTTTGGAATAGGCTGGAGCCAAAGGGCAGTACCCTGAACCACGACAGAGTCCTTCTTGGATAGGGAGTGTTAAGGTTTCTCACACTTCCAGACCCTTAGACAATGCTGGGGTCGGGGTGAACCTCTCGAGACCCAATTTTGGGATTTTTCTGAGCATTCTGAAGAGTATATGTAGAAGCTAGAGCCTACAAAGATGCTAGAACCTATGTAGACTGCTATGTAGATGCTACAGTATAGGGCTTCAGGCCCTAGCAACTACATATACTCTTCAACATGATCTAAAAGAGAGTCATTGGAATCAGAAATAACCCAGAACTACCGTGGACTCACTGCAGTCTTTAAATGTTGGACAACACTTTACAACTTGGTAACAAAATTTGGGGACTAACTAGGTCTAAATTTAAAGCATAATTATGCTGTATTTTCTTGTCAAACAATTTTACTTAAGGCAACAACTGAAGTATAATTTAATTCAACAGGAAATATCACACTTGGACAGAAAACATAGGGGGGGAAAAAAACCCAAACTCCTAAACTAAAAACCAAACATTCTTCCCAAGGCACAGAACTGACATTTTCAGATTGACGGCAGAAAGAGTTTGTTTCCATGAGACAAAATGACGAGTCCAAAGTCTGTCATGGCAAGAGTTTCCGCTTCACAAACATTTCTTCCATTTCCCAGGCTCAGGGAACGATGCTGGTGGCTTTCCTCAGGGCCAGGTAGCCTGTGATGACATCAGAGGGCAGCCTCCGGATATAGGAAAACTCTTCAATGGAGCTGAAGCGCAGCTTGCTCTGGGGGTCTGTGTAGTTGGCCTGGGTGAGAAGCAGGAACAAGAAGGGCATGTTGGTCATGTTTTAATCTTTTCTCTATTTTACACCAAATGCAATAGATCTTCCTCATGTTTTACTGTCACCGAGAACACTAAGTTGCTCACTTTGGCAAGGGCTCATTAATCTTCCCAGACTTGAGAAATAATTCAGAGCACAGAGTAAAGAAGAGTAATCACTACAGCAGGGTTTAGCATCTACCTATACTCTTCATGTCAGTGGCTCCAAGGTATAATTAACACATCCAACCGACACTGAATTCATGACCGTTCCTCCTTGCCTTCAAATTCTTGCCTCCTTCAATCAGAAGCCCTAGGTTTGTGTTCCTCAAGGCAGGAGTTGCCCAGATGCATGCTGGGCCATGGCTGTCTTTTTTGTACCAAGTACCTCCATGTCCTTCTCTCCGGATCTGCCTTTACCACTACCTCTTCCATATCGTGCTCCCCAGAGCTGTACTGACTCCCCACACCCACCCTGCCACAGGAAGGGACCACACCCTGCAACTGTAGCCAGGATCACCTTTGTAACCTGCGACTCTGATCGTGTCATTCTGTATATAGCATAAAACCTCTCAAGATGGCTCCTCACTGTTCCTGGGACAAACGCCCAAATCCTCAGTGTGGCTCCTCAGGCCCTGGGTCTCTTCCATCCTTAGCCACATGTCCCATGCTCTGGTTCCAATCACCCAAGTCTTTATGCAACTCTTTCCAGCCATGTCTCCTCCTCCTCTCCCTAGCGGGAGTCCCAGCCCCGAATGGCTTACTGTACTTAGTAATCACCTGCTCACCCTTGAGGACTTGGCTCCACAGCCCCCACCCTCAGGGAAGCATATTCTTTGCCCTCCAAAATCAGGACCAAAGTGCCTGCCTGCGCAATTCTTAGTTCTGTGGTTCTCGGCCTGATACTCTGATTAAGGCATATGATGGCTATGAGATGCCATGAAGGAGGAATGCACTGGTTTAATCATCACTGTGGACAAGCTCCATCTCGTGCAGTGTGGAACACACAAAGGGCCTTCCATCAGGGTCCATACAACAAATAAGGAATGAATGCACAAATGAATAGATGATCCAAACCACTGCAGGAAAGAGAACTTGCATCTTCGACAATCTTTGGTTCCTGTTTTTTCCGTGTAGAGAAAATAATTCACCTCAAAGTAGTATACACTTCAAAATAGGTGGCTTCTATAGATTTTGAAAAAGAAAATGTACATGAATAATTTTAAGCGCTTAAAAAAAAGATGAAAGATGCCATTAAAAGTCTAGACAGATAATGTCCCATTACTCAAGCATGGACTGTCTGCTCCACTGTTGTCATCTGTGTGTGGACTTAGACGCTCAGTAATTCTGTGGTTTGGTACAGGAGAAGGTTCGGAAAAAGGCTATGAGCCAAAGGGAACTGAGTCATGGATTTCTCATGCTCTGAAGTCTCAATCGTGCCACTGGGGATCGTACTCAATTATTTAGCTGTTACGTGTCAGGAGAATGGAGATTTATTCCTCAAAAGCTAAGATTAATTAGAGCTCTGTACAAAGTATAGCTTTGATCCTTTGGCTTGATCTAGATATTTCCTTTAATAACAGTAATATAGGGGAAGGCTTCAATTTAAAAAAAAAGAACAATGACAAGTCTCTTTTGCGGGCTCAGGGCCTTGAGGCAGCTAGGTGAAAGAGCTGGCAGGGGAGGCTGCAAACATGTGCATCCAGCTTGGATCATCATCCGGTCTCAATCTGGCTTGATCTGTGGCTGCTTCACTCCTACCACCAACTGTGCTGAGCCAGCCAGTGTACTCTAGACCTCAGGGCCAAAAAGGCTGCTGAATAAACAATGTGGAAGGGAGATCCTATAGCACCAACAAGAAGGTCACCAACAAAATCTGGGGCAGATTAACTTGATCCAAGAGCCAGCACCCAACAATTCTGAACAGAAGGGACGATGATGACACATGACGTCCCAAAGCTGAATGAATCAAGGCAGGGCTTCCTTTCTAGTCTCCCCTCCTCTGGGTTCTAGCCTTGCACTGAGCTGAAGCAAACAGAGGCATTCAGCAATGTTGGGTTCCTACAGCAGAGTGACAGGCAGTATTCATGGCTCCCTAGACTCACCTAGAGCCACAATGCTTCCCATCACCTTGTCACTAATCACAGATGTGATCGCGTATGCCTTCCCAAGCCCAGGGAAACAGATACATGCATGGCTGGTGGAGGACAGGGGAGTCAGTGTAATGTGAGCCCAGCTGTTGTAATGTTGTGACTTTAGATTACACAAGTAACAGACTGAACTGTGTTCTCCTATTAAAAAAAATTAAACATTATGAATAAGACTAAAGTACCCCTTTACCACGATTTTCTGCTAACACATAAACATCCCAGAGAAATTATGAAATGTTGGGAAAGGGGCTGTCTTTTTTCTTTTTGGTACTGGCACTGAGCTTGAACTCAGGGCTTCACACTTGGATTTTTTGCTCAAAGGTAGTACCCTACCACTTCAGCTATACCTCTGCTTCTGGCTTTTGGTTACTTACTTGGAAATAAGTGTCTCATGGATTTGTCTGCCCAGACTGGCTTTAAAGCATTTCAACCTCCTGCCTAGCTAGGATTCTAGGCGTGAGACACTAGTGCCCAGCTTTACACAATGTTTTCGTTGAGTGAATGTGATGATGTTTATGTAATAGCAGACTGTTTACACAGCTCTGAATCCTGCAGTTGATACTATATCTTAGAAAATTGGCCATGCTGTTGTTACATGAGCGTGCAGCTCACAGAACAGTATGAAACTGTCCCCAGTGACAGGCATTTACGTCTTCCAACAGCCTTCCAAAAGCATTTCTGCATGATTCTCCTTGTACATCCTACTTGTCCAGGGAGCTGCCAGCAAGCAAACTACCAGGTCATTGGCTTTTGCTTTGACACAAGATATAGAGCCAAATTGTCCTTTGAGAAAGCAGTTTCAGTACTCATTCTCACCTCAAAAAAGCAAGGTATGAGTGCATCCATTTCCTTATGCTGGGGCTGTTTCTTCCCTGTGTGACAAGTCTAACTGCATTCTCATTGAGGCTGAATGCCTACTTACTACCATCTGTCTTTCCTCTCTTGTAATTGTCTATTTATATCCTCCTTGCTAGTTCTTCTGTGGGATTGTCCTTCAATAATTTGGTAGAGTTCTTTGTAAACTTTTTGTTGTTGTTATTGTTGCCAGCCCTGGGGTTTGAACTCAGGGCCTGGATGCTGTCCTTGGCTTCTTTGGCTCAAGGCTGGCATTCTAACACTTAAGCCACAGCACCACATCCAGCTTTTTCTGAGTAGTTTATCAGAGGTAAGAGTCTCATGGACTTTCCTGCGTAGGCTGGCTTGGAACTGCAGTCCTTAGATCACAGATTCCTAAGTAGTTAGAATTATAGGAATGAGCCACCAACACCTGGCTCTATGTAAATTCTTAAAGGCATTGGGGCATAAGGTTCAAGGTAATGCCTATCATGGCAAGCCCTCTGGCCATAGAAACCTAGAATAACGTTTTTCAAAATGGTTCTCATGCTTCCTAATGGGTGAAAACCATTGGATTAGCAGGAGCTGCTTTCAACGGTGAGGAGAGAGCTGATGTTGCAGGTGACCAGACTTCAAGTCTGGCCATAATCACAGTTTCCCACAAACTCAAAACTGGCACAAGCAGAAATGTTCACTTGGGCCATAAGAAAATACTAGTTCCCCTGGTATAAACAACCATTCAAATGGGTCAAATACATGCAAATATTTTCAGCAATAGACAGGAGTAGTACAAGACTACATGGCTAAGAAAACAGAGCTCACAAGACCGCTTCAAAGCTCGTCATCCCAACACTGTCAGATTGGGGACCAAGTTTATAAAATATAAACCACATCTACAGGATGTAGCTGGATTAATACAGATAAAAGTAGACTTTAGAACAATGAAAATGATCTGGAGTGAAGAGGGGGAAGTTCTTCTTTTTTCAGTACAGGGATTCAACCCAAGGCCTCCAACTGAATCCTGCTGCTGATCCTTTGGTTTTTGAGACAAGTTTTTGAACAGATTGCTTCTACATCCTGAATAACTGGAATTACAAAAGTACAACATCACAACAAGCTTTCTTTGTATGATGTACATAATTAGTTTAATCAGTTTATTACAGAAGCTATAGCCAGATGTTTCCATTCATAGGCAAAACATTTAAATGATGTACATATGAGTTTAAAAAGTGACATGCTGTCGGGTGTGCTAGTGGCTTGTGCCTGTAATCCTAGCTATTCAGGAGGCTGAGATATGAGGAACCTAATTTGAAATCTCTCCAATAAACTACTCAGAAAAAGCTCAACGTGGCATTGTGGCTCAAGTGGTAGAGCACTATCCTTGAACAATAGAAGCTCTCAGGAACAGTAGTAACCAGGCCCTGAGTTTAAGCTCCAGGACTGGCACACACAAAAAAGTTACATGCGTCTTTACTTCTGTAGCTTAGAGAAAATGCCCATCTTCCATATTTATAAGAGATTTTTTTTTTAAAGGCTCAAGAGCTGGGAATGTGACTTAGTGGTAGAGTGCTTGCCTTGCATGCATGAAGTCCTGGGTTCAATTCCTCTTTACCACATAAATAGGAAATGCCAGAAGTGCTGCTGTGGCTCAAGTGATATAGCGCTAGCCTTGAGCAAGAGAAGCTCAGGGACAGTGCTCAGGCCCTGAGTTCAAGCTCCAGGGCTGGCAAAAGTAATAATAATAAAAGGCAAACTAAAAATTAAACCTTTACAAATCTCACACTTGGTCTACATTCTGCACATAAGAAACTGGGCTCTCTTTGGTACCTGGCTTCGGCAATTTGCCCATCTCATTCTTCCAGCTCTGCTGGTGGTTCCCAAGCTATGTACCCGCAAAGCACTTGAGCGGTGACTCTATTGGGAACAGGGAAGAGAACAGAAGAGCCATATAGGTGGTAAGGCGGAGGTTTCCAGCCTTTTTAGGTTTGGGTATTCTGTAAAGTCACTTCATCTGGAAAAGGGGTTCTGATGTTTAAAAATGACTCTGAAAGCCACTGCCTTTATCACAGTGCCTGTATGGAGAGGCTTAATTTTCTTTTCTAAGATGACAGAGATCCAACCCCAGGCCTCCAGCATATTAGGCAGGTGCTCTCTTACTGATCTACATTCACAACACTAAATATTTCTTTCAAGTTCAACCGATTATCTAAATGTAGTATTTTAAAATTTCTGGATAAAAAAAAGTTATTTCTCTTGTGTGGTGTCACATAGTTACAGGCAGAGGAAAGGGAAGGGCCACTATGTCTCCTGCTTTCTGAAAGCAATCCTCCTCCCAGTCTGCTCCCTGGACACTGCAGATTGCAGCAGAAACAGTGTGCACAAAGCCATCACCTATGCACAGTGCCCAGGCTCCGGGCAGGACCATCAGTGGCTGACAGTAAACACTATTTGGATAGGCATTACTGTGAAATTTTCAATCTAACATTAGAATACAGAGAGATACAATCATACTCACAAGAAGACCCGAAACATCAGAATACTTCTTGGCTGGTTTAAAGGATGGAGGAGCATCAATACTAAAGTCTAGAAGAAAAAAAAAAAGAAGATGAAGAAGAAAAAAAAGGTAACTGGTTTTAAGACTGTCTAGCTCTTTCTTTTCTTCTTTCTCTAAAACAACAGTTGATAATATTCTTGAATGGTTCCTTTGTGAATAGTTATCACAGAATTCATAAGGGAGGAGTATTAGCAATGGTGCTATGTGTCATAGACCAAGGGCAGGCTCTGCTATAGCCCTACCCCATCACCAGGGAACTGCTAGGCTCCTGTAACCACAAACCATGCTTACAGTCTCAGGCTATGTGGGCTGATGGTGGGGAAACGCCATACAACCCACCAACTGGATCTGGCTTGCTGTACGTCCACACCCAGGTAACTGACTAGTGTACTTGTCACTGAGTCACCCTCAGGAAAGAAGCACAGCAGGGTTGGGAGGCAGAATGCTCTTTGAGCCTGTAGTTTCCAATGAAGTTGCACAGAACGTGTAACAGGGTTTTGCACAGATTTGTACCTACTGCAGCAGAAAGCATTTACTCTGAAAGAGCTGGCCTTTAAGCCGCTTGTTGGAAATCCTTCTAAGTCTGGCTCTCTATCTGAGCTACCTTGTTCTTGGAAATAAATTTTAAGAGTAGACTTTTGAAAAAGAAGTTTGTCTAATAGAAACATCAATATTATCCTATTAGGAACTATTTCCCTAAACCAAAATGTTAACAACAAACTACAAACCACATACTTATGACAACACAAACAATCAGACTCAATACAGAGGATGGTTAAGAGGAAATATGTACCTAATTTCCCAGGATTTTATGGCACTATAAAATTCTTAAGCTAGAAACAATTTCCTACAAATACCATGAACACAATCAAACAGCGTGGGTTTGTTCTCAGAAAGTTATAAACCCAGGGAAGGCTCTGGACAGCTCACAGTTAGGATCGTTCAGTTGCCACGGCAATGCCCTTTCAGCAGCGAGAATCTGTTTCAGGTTCTTCCAGGTTCTGTTCTTCTTGCCAGCTACCGCGCCACCATGGCCAGAGTGCTCAAATTAAAAGCATGGATTAGAAGGAAGAAGAAAAAAAAAATCAATGGAGGCTACCACTTGAAAACCTGACATTTATGCTTAATGATGACTGGTATGTACCTTGCATTCTATCAGCAATGGTTTGTACTGCTGGGGTCACTTAAAAAAGTATTTCACAGTATACTTTAATCTTTGTTTAAAAAACAAACAACAAAACCCTGGCTTTCACACTGTTGAAACCCATGAGTTAGAAATGAAAAGCTACTTCTTTACATACACAGACCCTTTATTGGGTTGAGCGTAGAACTCACCCATGACTTACAAAATTAAATTTACCCTCACAACTGCATCTCTCAAGTCCCTTGTGGGGAAGTTTCTCTGCCTAGTAAATTACTAGTGATCCTGGAAAACTTGAGTAAGCCTCAATCCTGGCAGACCTTCTGGACAGCTTAATTGTGTGTGTGTGTCCTGTGAAGATTACAAAATAAAATGGAAAAGACTTCCGACATATTTACAGACACTGGTAACATTTTCTTCCCCAAATGCATTCACACACACACACACACAAAATAAACTTCTAAAGGTACAATCTGAGTCACTGTAACTTATTCTAATCTTCCAGTGATAAGAAGAGTACCCTTTTTGTACGTTACAGTACCACAGCTTTATTTAAAGAAATGAGTGAGGAACACTTTCAAGCCTCCTCTAATACATGTGTTAAGATCAACAAAAAGGAACAGGAAGAATCATCATGGGAATGGCCTGCCTTTTAGTAAATGCTACAAGACACACCAAAGTCCTTGGGGTCTGGCACACAGGGAGATCAACAGGAGGGGCCTTCTGCTCCTTCTTCCCTTCATAGCCCATGGAAAGAAGGTGGCAGCCCAGGTTAAAAGAAGAGGTCTCCAGAGCCACCTCAGCGCAGGAATAGCCTGACAAAAGGCCAAGTGTGGTTGTCTGGTTTATTTATTTATATATTTCAAAACACTTTAGATGCTTACCACAAAGTTGGGATCCTTAAATGGCAAAGGTTTGGCAGCTTTTTCCACAGGTCCTGTACTAAACTCTGAGGTCACCATTTTATTTTCAGTCATGGCTTCCATGCTGACACCCTTTCAACAGAGTAAGAATAGCATGAGGTCAGTTTCTCCTACTGGGATCTCCCCCCTTCTGCTGCCTAAAACACGGGCATGGAAAGGGAAACAGGGTGCCCAGAGTGCCAGGAGGTGGCCTGTCCCACACATAGGGAGCATCTGTATGTATGCAGAGGCTGCAGGAGAGACAGACAGAAGCCCCAGCTGCCATATTTCCTGATCCCCTTTGTGCTAGGCTCAGGGATGGGTAACCTACCAAGCTGGCCCATTTCATTCCAACAACTGCTACAAAAGACATACTATCCATTATTCCCATTTTACAGAAAGGAAAACTGAGGATTGCAGGGGGTGGGGGCCGGGGAGGGAAGGCAGGCAGGTTCAAGGCCATATAGTACTGGACCTGACTGGACCCGAGGTCAGGCCAAATCTAAAACTTCTATAATCTCCATGACACCACTTAGTCCCTACTCCTGCTGATCTTGGCAACTGTGACTTGAAGTTTTTTTTTGTTTTTTTTGGGGTCATGGGGCTTGAACTCTGGGCCTGGCACTGTCCCTCAGCTCTTCAACTCAAGGCGAGCACTCTACCGCTTGAGCCACAGCACCACTTCCAGTTTTCTAGTGGTTTATTGGAGATAAGAGTCTCATAGACTTTCCTGGCCAGGCTGGCTTTGAACCGTGATCCTCAGATCTGAGCCTCCTGAGTAGCTAGGATTACAGGCATGAGCCACCAGCTCCTGGCTGTGACTTGAAGCTTTAAAACAAAAAGGTCTGGTCCTTACGGGTCTAGTCAGTCAGCAAGCCCAGGCTAGAGCTGGTACAGGTGTAGGTATGAGTAGGGGCAACACAGGACAAGGGCACTGTGAGGAAGGAAAACAGAGAGGAAGCTGGACAGCCATGGGTCAGCTGACTGAAGCCAGAAAGTGCCTTGACAAGCAAGCTAATATGCTTTAAAGAAAAACAAAACAAAAACCCTTTAAGCTAACCATCACAAAGAAAAAAACAAGTCAAAGTAAGAACTAATTTGTGACTTGTAATGCGATTCCAATTTTCCCACACTACAATAAGCTTTTTTAAAACTTGAGATACAATTTGCAGACAGTGAAAGACACAGACCTTAGGTGTATAAGTTTGTTGAATTTCTCGAATGTTCATACTAGCATTAACCAAATCTCTGTTAAGACACAATACTGCTACTATCCCAGAAAGTTTTCTTCTTCTTTCCTGGACAATGCCTTCCAGGCCAAAAGGCAATCACTGCTCTAATTCTTACCATTGTACTTTCAAGCCATTCTACAACTTCACAAACATGGAATGGACAGCATGTATTCTTGCCTCTGCCTTCTTTAGCCCAGCCAAAAATTTGGTCTTGGTTGGTTGGTTGGATCCATTTCATTTTGTGTTTTGTTTGTTAAATGTTTATTGTAAAGGTGATCTGTTTTGGGGTTTGAACTAGGAGAAATACTCTACTATTCAAGACAATTTTTTTTAGTCCTTTTGCTTTATTTCTTTTGTAGAATAGAGTTAGTTTTTAACTTTGTTGGTTGGATCCATTTCATCTTGTGTTTTGTTTGTTAAATGTTTATTGTAAAGGTGATCTGTTCTGGGGTTTGAACTCAGGAGAAATACTCTATTATTCAAGATAATTTTTTTTTAGTCTTTTTGCTTTATTTCTTTTGTAGAATAGAGTTAGTTTTTAACTTTGGCTGGAGGCTGGCTTTAGATTATGATCCTCCATCTCTGCCTTCCACATTACTGAGATTACAGGCACCACATCACTATACCTGGTTTGTTTTATTTTTGAAGTCCAGGGGCTTTTATTTCTTATTCATAATATTTTATTATTTATATATATTCCATTTTATATTATTATTCATAATATTTTATTAGTTTATATTAGTTATACAAAGAAGTTTCATCGTGTATTTCCATAAATACATACAATGTACCCAATCAAATTCACTTTCCAGCACTGTGCTTTCACATTCTTCCTCTACTTCTTAGCCAATTTCAGCAGGTTTCATTGTTCTAGTCTCATATCTGTGTCTAAACAACTTTGACCATATTCATCCCCAGATCCCCTGTCCTTTTGCCCTTCCTCTTCCTACTAGTATCCACCTCCAAACAGAAGCTATTTAGCATTCCCATCGTTCCTTGTTAAGCAGTAGATTTCATACAACTGAAAAAAGAAGGATACTTGTCATTCATTTTTGTCGTTATTGTTGGTAGTAGTTGTAGGGCTTACACTCAGGGCCTGGGCGCTGTCCTTGAGCTTTTTTACTCAAGGCTAGCACCGTGAGTCATAACTTCACTTCCAGTTTTTGGGTGGTTAATTGGAGATGAGCCTCACAAGGACTTTTCTGCCCCAGCTGGCTTCGAACTGAACCACGATCCTCGATCTCAGCCTCCTATAAGTAGCTAGGATTATAGGTGTGAGCCACTGGCACTTGGCAATACTTGTCATTCTTGGTTTGTCTTGGGTTTTTTTGTTGTTGTTTTTGTTTTGTTTTGAAGTGGAATCCCATTAGCTTTCTGCCCAGGCTAGCCCCAAGTCAAAAATCTTCCTATCTATGTTGTGAATAGCTAGGATCACAGACATGAGCCTGAGTTAGCATGAAGTTTTTGAGAATGTCTATGTTGCTGCATGGATCAGTAGTTTGTTGTTGGTATTTTCCTACTTCTCAGCAGACTAGGATTCAATATATAGATGTGTTAAAAATCTGTTTATCCATTTTCCTGTTGGTGAACATTTGGTTTATTTTCAGTGTTATAAATAAAGCTGCCGGAAAATGTTCTCATTTCTCTTGGGTAAATACCCAACAGTGGAGTGGTTGTGTTATTGGATAAGTTCATTTTTATAAGAAAGTTTGTATACATACACACACCACACACACACAAGAAAAAGAAGGGGGGAACTCAAGGACGATTCACACTATCATAGGTAAAAACCTTTGGCTGTAGATATACCCTGAAATTGATCTTTTAAGAGGTGTTAGAAGAAAAGCCATTCCCAGAGAGACAGACAGACAGACAGAGACAGAGACAGACAGAGAGACAGACAGACACAGACAGAGCCAGAGACAGAGACTATGACTACTAATACTGGTTCCGTCTGGAAGAAGATGCTGAAGAAACAAAGAGGAGATTCTGAAGAGAAAGGAAGAAATTCTAGTCCCAAGGTTTCTGACAGTGACAGTGATGACAGAATCATCCAAAGCTTGCCCATTCCCCAGGGCCCATCCTCTAGGAATGCCTGCTTTTCCTCCCACTCCAGAAATCTCCAGATTGCTTCTCACCTTGTTTATTCTTCTCCTTGGATTCTAGAGGGAAACTCAAGGGTACATTGGGCCAGTGAAAGGGAAAGAATTCAGGGGATTTTTTTTTTTTACAAAGGCTTTTTGACCCAAAGTCCCAAGGTCACTGGGAGAAAAAGCCAGCGAAGCTTCACTGGGATCCAGGCAACTGAAGCTTTTTTTCTACCCCAGAAACCACTATGAAAAGTAGTTAAGACATCAGACCACTCTTAGACAATCTAGAAGTTCTCAAAGCAGAAAGGGCACACCATCAGACAAGCTCAGACAAGCACAGCTGCCAACTTGGAGAGGTGAGGTGACATGAAGAAAGACTAGAAGTCATTTGTTCCAGCAAGCTAGAGAGGCATGGGAGAAGGAATGAAAATGATCTGCTGAAGCACGATGTTTTCAAATCAGGTAAAGCCTGCTCTAGGCTCCCTCTCTCCTCTGCTCCTCCAACCTCTGCTTTTCTCTTTCCAGCAGGCCAGTTAAGCTAAAGAAGAAGCAGAGAAAGAAAGCCACCTTACTATGAACCGAGTCACACCAAGCCAGAGGGTTCCTGCCTCTCTAGGAGGCCAGAGCTAGCTTCCCGCTGTCTTCCCTCTTCAGACCTATTTCCACCCCTATGTCAGCTCACTTTCATCCTCTGTCTCACCTTCAGCTAAGCTGAGACCTAAGCGTCTACTAAGAGCAGGGTGGGAGGAAGAAATCTTTAATCACAAGGAAGGTCAAGTCTATGACACTCTGATGCCATCAAATAAAATTTAAGATGATGTCGAGTTTCAATATTACAAATTCAACATTACAATATTACAAAATTATTAAGAATTTTTTTAGGCTATTCAAATAAAGGGAGCCAAAGAAATTCCCAGTCCTTAAGTATTGTCCCCTACTTGCAGCACTAAAAGTATTGACTGAAATCCTAGGAAAAAGAAACCCAGCTTGCCCCTAACATAGGAGTTAGCACAGCCTACCATCTTGGCTCAGCTCTTTCCAACTGTACAGCCCAGATAAAATGGCTCTCTGTCTCTCCACAAAGCAGCCTGCACAACTCCAAGTCCGACTTTAAGAAAATTTGGCCCTTCTGTCTGTGGTTACAAAGAAAGAAGACAATTAATTGTCTTTTGTCTCGTCACTGAAAAATCAAATACCAGCTACATCTATCTCATAGTTTTCTAGACTTTAAAGATGGTTGATTCTAGGCTAAAACTACAAGAGACTGTAGGATTAGTTAAAACAGAAAAAATATGACATGCAACGTAAACATTCTATGAAGTCAGTTAACTAAACAGCACAATTTCTTAGAACAGAATGAAGTCAATTAGACATAACAATCTATTAGACTTTTCAAAGTCTAATTGAGAAGATTGTCAACACAGGGAAACGGTCATAAGTAATGCCAAATGAAAATAATACACAACATTATATGCTGAGTACAAAATGAAAAACTACATCCACTCACAGAAAGAATAACATGATTGAAGATGGTCATAATTTTTGAAGCTAAGGATAGAATGATTTGCGAGGAGGAAGTGGGGGGGAACCTAGGGCTGTATCCCTCAGATTTTCACCCAAGGCTACACTCTGCCCCTTGAGCCACAACTCCATTTCTGGCTTTTCTGTGGTTAATTGAACATAAAAGTCTCAGGGATTTTCCTGCCACAGATAGCTTTGAACCCTGATCCTCCTCAGCTCTCATCCTCTTGAGTAGCTCAATTACAGGCAT